ATCACAGACACCAGTCTGGTTCCAGCTTGCCATACAGCCTGGAGCTTGTTCTCTCCACAATAATTTAAAGAGTACAACAGCTCTTCACTCTGATTGTAAAATGGTGTTTTGGACCCAGCTGAAACAGTGGCTCAAATCCAAAACTTTTTTCAGCTGAGCAGTGACAATCTACACAATTCTTAGATTGAGCCCCACATTAGTATGGATATGAAGGGCAACTTTGTTTTTCTCAGATTCTCAGAACTACTTCTGTTTGAACTGCAGACATGCCCTTTGAAAAACAGAGAGATTTATTTATAATTGGCTAGATTTGCAAGCTTGCTTTATTACATTATTTCCTGCCTAGGGTTTCTTAATACTGAATAGAAATGATTATGAAAACTTCTTACTTCAGGGCATTTCCAGGCTAGCAGGGCTGAAGCAGAACCTGTCATTGCTGGTCCAGTTTTATTTCTGGAAAAATCTGCTGAACTGAGGCAAAGTTCAAGTCCAGAAGGGGAACACATACACGCATAACATTCATGCATGCACTTCGTGAATTTGTTCCAATCTCTCTGTCATTGGACTTTCAGCTGAAAGCCTTTAAACTGTACATAAGCAGTTCTGTTAACTTGATAACTTTTTTTTCTGTAACTTTTTTTTTTTCTGTAAAACAAGTCCTGTAAAAATTAATTTATTTATGTACCCAGGAGTCAGGAATATCTTTGCTTTTTTATTTTGCCAACTTACTGGCTGTCAGCAGAGTAAAACTGGGAATGGGGGAGAATCAAAGTCAGCATGTAGTGTGGGACTTCAGCATAAAATGTAATATGGAATCTTTACCTCTGAGCTGAGCTGTGGTACCTTATGCCAGAAAACAATACAGGCTCAGCCAGCTGAGGATTAGCTGTTATTATTCTGGCTTTTTGTTGCTAACTTTTTTATGTAAACCCATAAGGAGAATAGAAATCAGCTCACTTGAGAATATACACTGTCATAGGATGAGATGATCAAGAACTGGTCAGGGAGCTGTTGCCATCCTGTAATTTCCTCACTGTAGTATTGACATCCTTCACACACCATGGAAAGCCTGAGATCTCCAGAGCTCTGCTTCATCAGCTTCACTGCTGTTTGGGCATTTAACCACAGCTTAATGGGAGCACCTTTAGAAGTACGTAAAAACTTCATCCAAAGTCTTTTGGACTTATAGGTGTATTTACTTTATTTTAATAGGGTTTGGGTTAGGCTGTCAGGGAACTGAACGGAGCTGCTTCTGACATTTTGTGCGGTAACAATCTGCTGTTCAAGCCTCTGACCACACTTTGACTATCTGAAACTCCAAAGATTTCAGTGTGGAAAGTCTGTGCTTCATTACTCTGCTTAAAGTGGAAGAAGAGTAAAGTGTAATAAAAATGAGTATGAAAACTGCTTACTTCAGAACATTTCTAGACACAATGGGTTGTAGTAATCCATTTTTGTTCCTGATGGGGGCTTTCTTCCCAGCACTTTATGGATCGAAAAATGTTTCATTTCCCTAAACGCCCCAGGATATATTAAGATTAAGACTAGAATGCACTGGAAAAGGAAGTTTCCATCCCACTGAAACTTCAAAATTTCAACATTGGTTCCAGTTTCAAACTCAGATGAGAATTTGACATTTCAAAGCTTTTCAGGGAGTAAAATATTCCTCAGACTTTTGATTCACAAATGTCAGGATTTATTTCAATCTATGCCCACGAAGTCATTGATCTGAGCTGTGGACTGAAGGCACAATATCCCTATTTGCTTCTTTGCCTACTAACCCAGCAGTATCTTCCTGGAGCTTCTTTTCATGATGAGGCTTCAACAACTCCTAGTCAAATTTATTAATAGGTCAGTGGTCTGCAAGAAATGTAGGCTTTTCTAGCTCTGCTGCTTAAGTTAACCTACTTTTTCTGACAGGAGGATCTCACCCTGTGTGCTGCATCTTGAGCATGATCCATTCCAAAACCTATTTTCTATGTTTTGTTCATACCGTGAGAAGATGTTGCAAGAAACAGCTCTGCCTTCCTTGCTGATTCAGTGTTCATAGAGACATGTTCTTATTCCTGTCATAAATAGTACTTTAACTTTTCTCTGTCTCACTTTATTTTCATAAGAGTGCAGCCTATACACTACTTTCTTGTAAGAGCTACTAGGAAGCAATATAAGAGATTTGAAGTAATGTTTTTGATTCTGAAGCATCTTGGAATCCGTTGCAAATATTACTAAGCCTCTTGCTGGGTGTAATCCTCTCCAAATGACTGAAAAAGGATTTGCCTTAATAGTCAATGGAAAAAAAAAAAAAAAAAGCCATGAGTGGGGAAGTTTTAAACTTGGATTTTTTATATTTTTTTATTTCAGGCATTAGTTCAGCTAATCACTCATAAAGATTTTTTTACGAAAATACAATACATATTTCCAGAGCTCTGGATATCTGCTAGGATAGATAATGGTGCTAACTAAAAATCTGCCCATAAACCCTAGGGCAGAAGTAAATTTATTTCATTTTATCAAAGTTTCTGAAAGTATACAGTTATTTGAGAGATTTTACAAAGCACAGGAAGACGCTCATGTTCTGTACATACTGTTTAAATTTTGATGTTCACAAGAAATCTCCATTTTGTTTAATACTTGCATTTGAAATACAATATTTTCCATAAAATAAGGATTTTTATGCCTTGAAGAGTGGATATTTGTTTCGAAAAGAACAGTGAACCTCAGTATAACTTTGTTTAACATCTGAGATTTTCCTAGTGGTTAAATCTACTGGTTGTGACCTAGCCTAAAATAGCTCGATTTATGAATAAACTTTAATCCGAGCACAGACCATGGTAATGTGTGAGTTGATGATTCAGAAAGCTAAAAAGCCTTTAATGTCATACAGGCTCACACCTGAGTTTCATGTCCAGCTCTTTTTACATCCAGGCAATTCACATGTTCTTTTCAAAATGGGTAAGAGCACGTAGATTTGGACATCATTCTGGACTGAATCATTGAATGAATATAAACTGTGTTATGGACAGGTATGGAAAGGAATTTTGGCCTTTCTGCTGATATCTGTTGTCTTCAGAAGAACTCTTCTCACTCAAAGTGCTAGTGAACTAGTAATGCACTTGAAGGAAAGTCATCTGAGTTGGTGGCTTAGTGTCAGACTGTTTACAGGCCACACAAATAATATTTTCTTTACAGAAACATTCATGAAAATAAAGCAAATCATTCTCTCTATGAAAAAGATGATTCACTTCTTGTATGATATTCAGAAAAGTAAATCTTACATTATATCCCTGATGGATTACATATATACCTGTAACTGGAAGATTTGAACGGAGTAGTCACAGTCAAGATAATCTTAACTTTGGTTCAGCTACCTCAGCATAATGTACCACAATGGTTTTAATATGGTAAAGTATCTCCTCCGGTCTTGGTGTGAACAGTTTTTTAGAGAAATGTATCATTTTTGCATGACTATTATTCCCTTAGCATCAATTAATTCCTCTGGAGACCTTATAACTTAAGGTAGAATGGGACTGTTGACCCAGTCCCAAATGAGTAAAATTGGGAAAAGTCAAACCTACAGTGTTTGAAATTCAATTAAATATGATATCAATGTGATAGATAACCGAAAATGTTATTGTATCACTAGTAAATAATAGTGATGTTAGAAATGGGAATAGAATTTGCTAAAAGGAAATACCAAGTATAATTTAAGCCTACATTTTACAGGAAAATGCAGAGGAGTTGTCAAAACCACAAGTACAGTGGGCTGTAGCAGTGATCTCCAATTGTGCTCTCACAGATTTGCACAAATAAGAGAAGTTAGTCTGAATGTTTGAGTACGCAAGTAACACGTGCAGATTGTAAGAGCCTGGAGATTAAGTACCCCATATGCTCGTAAGTGTTTCTAAGACTCAGCTCTCTGATTTTAACTGAAGTTCACAGATGCAGGGAATTTTAAAGTTGAAATATGCACTTTATTTTAAATTCCCTGTGTATATATATTCTCTCTGGTTAAGAGTTTTAGCACAAACTTCTTAGAAGCAGAATTTATATAATTATTTTTTCATTGCTTACTTTGCAATGAAATGCCAGAATGCTAGCAGGCTTTTTATTTTCTGATATGTATAAAGATAATTATAAACTGTATGAACTTGCTTAATTTCTTGCATTTCATCTATTTATGTGTAAAATTTATAACTTGCATCAAACAGAACAGAATTCAAACAAGAAACTTATATTAGTAATATGCAAAATAAGTCTATATCCCATTTATTTAGTTTCAAATGTATTTAATCATAAAGTTATATTTCATTCACCTAGGGTCTATATAAATTTGGGAAATTAGAGGCCCAGATTATCTATTCAAGTTTTAGAATTTTGAACAAAACAATTTACACGTAAATGTAAAACCAGTTTCAGCGTCTGATTCTGAGTTCTTTTGTTTTAAACATTCGTTCTTCTTTAATCAGTTCTTAAACAAAGTCTGAATGCAGGCTTGGACTGTGTGGAATGGGATTATTATCAAACATAATTAAAACCACATGGTCTTTCCAACTGTATAGCAGGTAAAATTTCTCTGAGATCTCAGACATGTTACTATCATTAATCTTTGTTGCTCTGTGTTGCTCATTTGTTTTATCCATCTGCTCTCCGAGTCTCTGTCTTCTTACCTACTTCAGAGATATTTCTCTTTGAAACTGGAAGCATATTTTCTGATGGACCCTGACCGCGAACTGTTGACACTGCAAGTAAAAAAAAAACCAAAACAACCAACAATGCTGCTTTCTTTCTCTGTACTGCAAAAGCTATTGAGTACTAACCTGCTCACTATCTTATGTCTGAAACTTCCAGCCAGATTTGCTCAGCCTCTTTCATTGCTAATGTACCCTATGGCTCTCTAGGGATTCTGAGAGAGAAACTTGGTGGTAATTAGTAGCAGAGATGGATCAAGCAGTCAGTAAGTAGATGCCTATTTTGAACTGCACGTCTTTCTATCTTGCCAGATCGTTGGCTGTGACCGCCAGCTGGGAAGCACTGTCAAGGAAGATAACTGTGGGGTCTGCAATGGTGATGGGTCCACCTGCCGGCTGGTTCGAGGCCAGTATAAGTCCCAGCTCTCAGCAAATAAAAGTAAGCTGTTCCTTCTGGTAAAGTGCCATCTTCACTTCTTACTAAAATATATATTTCTAGCATGTATCTTTCACTCTACTCTTCATCAGGCAGTTGAATGATCATGATTAGGCTAGATGTACTCATCATTTCTTCCCTGTTCAGGGAAGAATTAATGGTTGCTCACACTATAACTGAGGAAATGGATAGATTGTTGTGGAGAGCCATCACCAATGTATTCCCTGTTTCATTTCACTACCTTGGAATAAGCCAGAGAAAGAGAGAGCTGGTTCAGCACCCTGCTGAGGCTGTATTAGCTGGCTGAGTAGAGCCCAGTCCATGCTGTACTAAAGAGTATCTTATCCTGCCCACAGAGCAAAAAAGAAATACTGAAAGGGATGGTATTACCATCCACACACACACACATAGGCACACACACGCACCAAAAATAAATAAATAAATAAATAAATAAATAAATAAATAAATAAAAGGAAAGGAAGAAGTTTCAGGTCTTTCTTTTGCCTTTCTAGTAGTCTTGAATGCATCAAAATATATTTCATATATGGAAAATAAATCATAAATCTTAATCACGGACTTGGCACATTTTATGCCTAGGCCTAAAGTCGATACTTAGGCAGAAAATACTTGGGAAACAGTTTGGCTATGGACTTTTGATCATGCCGTTCTTTGGTTAGAATTGCTTGAGCCACCCATGAATTTAATTAGAATTGTACAGTGCTAACTAATTTTAGTATTGAGAAACTCACAATTAATTAGCTGAAAATCTCTTATGAAACATAAATCCTCTTCCTATTCTATTTTATATTATGAATAAAATATTGTTCCATTCTTTTTTTTTTTTTTTTTTTTTTTTTTTTT